CCCTAACCCTAACCCTAACCCTAACCCTAACCCTAACCCTAACCCTAACCCTAACCCTAACCCTAACCCTAACCCTAACCCTAACCCTAACCCTAACCCTAACCCTAACCCTAAATAAGTTATAAGACTAGATATAAGAAAGAAAGAAGTAATATTATAAGTTAAGACCTAAGAGAGGGTTAGTACTAAGTACGTAACTAACTAGACTATTGTTACTCTACCTTAATAGTAGTAGAGTTTTCTCTTACTCTCTTGTCTTATATAAACCTTTCTTTCTTAGAGTATTCTTTTTATAGAATAAAATAATACTTACTTAAACATTATGTTGTTAGCCTATAATATTAGGGACTTAAGGGCTAGTATTAAGGATACGCGGCTACGCGTACCTATAGGCACGCTAGGGCTACTTAAGGTTTTTAAGTAGCGTATATATATATATTAAAGAATAAAGAAAAGAAAAAAAGGTAAGAATTAGTTTACGTTTAAATTAAAATATACGGTAGCTTACTAGCTACTCGACTATAATTCTCTACTATATTACCTATAATACTAAATCTCTAACAACCTTAGTCTAATACTATAAATAAGATACGTCTTAAGAAAAGTACTTTAAGAGTGTTAGTATAGAGTATAGTACTTAAAGAGTATCTAGATCTTATCTACTATATTCTAGTAACAGGTCTTAGAAAGGGCGTGTCTTAGAAGGTAAAGGTAGTACTATTAATAGTACTAATAATAAACCTTCTAACCTTAAGGTATAAGAAGAAAGAATAGGCTAGGGAAATAAAGGGGATTTAGAGAGAAGTTTATAGTCTATATAGCGACCTACCTTTATTAAGCTGCGCAGAAACCTATAGGTCTCTACTAAATAGGTTAGGTACCTACTCTATAAGGTAGGTTATAGTATATAAGACCTAACCTATAGGTCTCTAAATAAATCTACGACCTAACCTATAGGGTAGACATAACCTATAGGTATAGCCTATTATACTATAGCTTGTAATACCTAAGGTAAAGGGTTAATTAGTAGAAAAATTAGTATAAATTCTATAGATTACTTACTTATAGACAACTATAGTCGCGTTACTAGGTAATATTATTAAGGAACAAGCTAGGTATTAAGAGGCTTAAATCACGTGTATAAGGCTTAAATCACGTGTTAGGTTCTTAGTAACCTATAGGTTAGGTTAGGTTAGCTTATAGGTTAGGGCTTAGCTACTAGCGTAAACCTACCCTATAGGTTAGATCCTTATAGGTTAGGTCCTACCTATAGAAACCTAACCTATAAGGACCTATTACACAGCCTAACCTTTGTCTTTAATAAATACTATACATCTGCCTTTAACTCTTTTACTTTATAAAAACACACCTAACAATTATGAATTAAGTAATTATAAAGGGACGCTCTACCTTCTAGTTGACTATTTTAATACTTTTTCTTAAGATTCTTATTGACTGCACTAGTAGCCGCGGTTACTACGGCAGCTTTAAGTGCCATGAATGTCGTATTAACTAAACGTGCTTGCTCTAAAGACATAGATAGCTCTTACGGCTTACAAAGTTCACCTGTCGCTAAAGAAGGTTGAATAGAGGAAAGCAATTCGTGGGGTAATAACGCGCTTAACTTGACACTCGGTGAATTCGGTGAATTCGCCCCTTTTCAAGGCTGAAGGCATATCTTCAGGGGTTATCACGAGCTTAAGCAGCCTGTTTTTCACCTAAATATTATTCATATCGCTGTATAGCGGGGCGAGATGGACCACAGATACATTATGTCATGCGGAAACCGTGCCTGTCAATGCTTCGGATTTAACCCCCTTTAGCCTAGCCCAAGGTTTACTCCCCTCGCACCTGCATTATCTGATTGATTGATTATCTGATAATCAGGTTCCTGTCCAATTACTGTAATACACTGACGCTCTAAAGGGACACCGCGTAAAAGTACTCCGTGGGCCATTAACCAAATATCGTTTAGTGTTCATGTTACCCTTCGTGTTGCAATCGTTTTGGCTTCGGCATTTTATTTAATAAATAGTCCGTAACCCCAGAATTCACCGACAACCTTAAGACGCAGCAAATCAAATCAAACTATCTGCGGACAAATCCACAAGTCCGGAAGGTAGGTAAATTCGGTAAGGTCCGTGAATTTGGTCCGCTCGGTGATAAGAATATCTTTGCAGGTTACTTAAAGTGCTCTCACTTCTGAGGAAGCAAAGGCAAACAAACGCTTGCATCCAATTCCTCCTCTGCTATTTTGAAAAGGCCACGACATTGCAGCATACGATAGCGCTGTTGCCTCCCAGATACCCCGGATTGTACTCGTTCAAGAGCGGAACCCATAGCATCATGCCGGCAACACTCAAAATCCTAATCTGCGGTGGGGGCATTGCTGGTAATGCTCTCGCTTTCTGGCTCTCAAAGTTGGGCAATGATGTCACTGTCGTGGAGCGCTGGCCCTCCCTCCGGGTCTCTGGACAGCAGCTGGATCTGCGGGGGCCTGGGATCGAGATTATGAAGCGTATGGGCCTAGAAAAGGCGTTCCGCTCCAAACAAGTCGGCGAGACGGGCATAGAGTTTGTGGACAGCTCTGGAAGGCAGAGAGCCTTCTTCCCGGTAAATAAGACTGGCAAGGGGTTGCAGAGCTTCACCACCGATTTCGAGATCATGAGAGGAGATTTGTGTCGTATTTTGTACGATGCAACCAAAGACCACGTCAAGTACATCTTTGGCATGTCTGTTGAGAGTTTTGAGCAAGATGACAACTCTGTTGAGGTTCAATTCTCAAATGGTTCAAAGGGTCGATTTGATCTTTTAGTCGGTGCTGATGGCCAAGGATCACGGACCCGAAAGATGATGTTAAGCCCCGATGGTCCGGATCCTTTTTACTCTCTCCATATGTATATCGCATATTTCAGTATTCCTCGAGTAGACGAAGAGTACATCGCCACATCCTATCTTGCGACAAACAAGCGCGGTATTTTCACTCGAAGACATGATCCACACACAGTCCAGGCATATCTTTTCTATCTTGGCGACTCCGATAAACTGGAAAATGCTGTGAGGAGCGATGTTAGGGAGCAAAAGAAGGTCTGGGCTGAGCTCTTCCAGGATGCAGGGTGGAAGGCGCAACGAATCATCAAGGCAATGCAAGACGACTCGGTAGCGAACGATTTCTTCACTCATCAAGTGGGACAGGTTAGGATGGACTCCTGGTCTCGCGGCCGGGTTGTTCTCGTTGGGGATGCTGCCTATTGCCCTTCACCAGCTACTGGAATGGGCACCACATCGGGACTTGTCGGCGCCTATGTCCTGGCGGGGGAAATTGCGAAGCATTTGAATCGTTCCAATGGAGTTGACAATGCAGATGGTGCTGCCGGCCTTCTTGCTTCCGCACTAGAAGCTTACAACAGTCAACTCCGGCCCTTCGTAAGCCAGGTGCAACAGCTGGGTCCCCTCTGGGTTCCGGCATCATGTTGGGGCATTTCTATATTTAACTTCCTTATAGGCTTAGCTGCCAGCCTACGTCTTGATATATTGGGCAGATATGTCCTCCGCGAGAATATACAGTGGGACACGCCGGAGTATGCAGAGCTGCCACAACTGGGCTCATCGGAGTGATGTTGCAGGGTTGCAGGGTTGTTGGGAGTGAGAGTGTATGTAGAGGACTATCTCGTTGGAATGTTGGAAGTAAATCCGGAAATGTCTCTTCTAATTTCTCCCCTCAATAACGTTGATCTGTTCAAGACGAAAAATTAAAACGGGTTGTCCGCAGTAGTACATAACTTGTAATAGCTAATTGACGCACTGTCATATTCTGAATCGGCCAGTTTTTTCGCGAAAAGAGCCGCGTGCATGCACTCTTAGGGTCACATATTATGGTAATTCAATGCGTAAACAGAAACATCCTTATCCATCGCATTGTTCGGCACGAAAGACCAAAGTAAGCCACTTTAGAAATGTGGCCCTTATGGCATTAAAAAAGAAGGCAACAACTTTACAGTCTTAAGACCGGAGTCGCTAACTAGCTGTATTTCTTTTAAGTACGACCGGAGCTTGAATTAGACGGTGTTAAAGTCATAATAATAACTATGCCCTCGGAACAAAGTTTGTGCATCCCCGAGCCTTGGATCCTCTACGACCCCGCATACGCGGCACAGCGCTCAATCTACTTTCTTGTTATCTCAATATCTTTCGCAGCCAACACAGTACCAAGTCGAGAGCGACTAGTCCCGGCTACACATCCCTCTGCAATATGTCGCCCTGTCTAGAGGACTGCCCGAATGAGATCATCGAGACGATCGTCGTACTGCTAGACTTGGACGATATTCGCAGTCTCCGTCAGAGTTGTCGATCTCTAGCCGCAAAAACCACTCAGAACCATTTTAAATCGTACTATCACTCGAAACGTGTTGATATTACCCTACCTGCTCTGAGAGCATTTGTTGACGTGACTCAGCCTGGCCGACTCGGATGTTTAGTGCAAGAATTGATACTAGTCGGCCTTACGAACGGCGCTGAGGGACAAAATTCGAAGCCACAATACGGTCCAGCTGAGACGGAGTTGGATCTCCTCAGCCAAGCATTCAATGGTATTGCCGCAAACAGGAAGAGCGGGCAACATCTGTCACTCTCGCTTAAGGTTGCAGTTGTCCAAGATGATGCTAAACAGAGACTCCTCCCTGCTGATGTAGCCAGAGGCGGCTGGAAGTTTGTCTGGCAATCTGCGGCTCAGACATTTCATACAACGCTACGGGCTCTGGCGGCAAGCAGATTGCCGCTTGAGAAGCTCGATGTGTTTAATGATCGCCAGTCGCAGTCTTGTAGCATTGCTTGCGACGAGCTGGGTCGCGTTGACTTTCAAGACAAGGGGCTCGCCATATCACTTTCGAGCCTCAAATCTCTGTCTATCAGCTTGTCGGACAAAATCATCGAGGAACTGCCCCCACCTAATTTCTCTCAGCCTCCCAAGGAAAAGGACATTCGCGAGGCCAAAAAGAAGGCGACGGCACGGAGCAACTTTGTTGGCCTTGTGAAACTTTTACAGCTTACCCGCTTACTCGACAGCCTCGAAATACATTACTACCGGCTTGACACCGCCGGACATCTTCTTAGACCCTTTTCTGCTCACCATGAACGCCTGTTGAAACAGGTAGCTGGATCGGAGAATCTGCCCAAATTGAAGCAGTGCAGGCTCCGCGGAATCTATATTAGTGACGGAGACTTATTGGCCTTTATTCAGCGAACAGCTACCCGCCGCCTGTTTATAGAGAAAGTAGATGTGTCTTCGGGAACGTTCAGATCTATCTTCGATTATTGTACCCGCGAGACTACGGGTATAGAAGAGTTGTACTTTGACTATCTGATTGAGAAGGGCAATTTGTTGTATTTTCCTCCTCCTGACCAGGTCGGCCATACGCAGGTCCCACGTCGGTCAACAACCTCACTCCAGAGGGTGGGCGCTAAGGTCAAGCAGCCGATTATTTATCATTATCACCAAGGCAGGACTGAGGACACTCCTAGGACGAGGGCTTTGCAGCTACAGCGGCGTAGGGAGTATGGTCCACTTTAGAGATAGTAGCCAAAGCCTTACCTCTGCACCGTTATAAGAAAGCAAATAATTCAAAGGATTTGGAAACAAAGCGTGAAGTTCATCAAGCTTAGCATCTCATCAAGGCACTCATCATCGTCTTATTCGTCTCCTAAAAGGATACAAAGCTATTGTTTTACAAGAGGAGTATTAGCGCAAGTGGAAAATGCGAGGAATTTTGGCTCTATCTGTACTAGTAGAGACTAGTTGTCCTGATGCACTAAAGGAGAATATTATTTATAGGTACTGTAATAGGTGTTGGGAGTCTGTTTATTAGTAGGTTGTATTTCTAAGAATAAAAGTGCTACTACTATAGGGATATATAGCTAAGCGAACCCTATCAAATAGTAGTAATATTATGTGACTATTTCCTATCGCTATAAGGTACCCCTAGACTTATAGTAAGTACCTACGATTAATAAAGACAAGTAAACTATTCTAGTAACCTATATACATCCCTTAATAGTACTTTACTAGCTAATTCTAGTACTTATAATCCCTTATTTGTCTACTAATATAGTTACCTGTCTAAACTTAGAAGCTAAAAGGGTTAGTAAGATCTAAGTATTACGTCCTTAAGTAGCTAGCGAACTTTATAGTAGTTAGATTAATATTAAGTACTACTATCTATATATTATAGGTCTAGTTAGTATTAATAAAGAACCTTATTATACTTACTTAATTAGTCCTAAGTATATACACTTTTAAATCGTCTAAATAGTATTTTTTAACTTAGCTATTACTATAGATATTTGTTACTTCTATAGATATATTAGAGGTTATTCTAGTTAGTAGTCTAGGGCCTATTTATTGTGTCTCTAACTTACGTTCTTTTTCTTTGTCTAGCTAATAATTACGTATAAAGACTAGGTCTCTTTATAATAGTTTAGAGAACCTAAGACTCTTTATATCCTCTAGCTTTAAGTAGGTATATACGATTAATACTACGACTTAGTCTCTTAGCTCTTTACGTTTTTCTTAAAGAAATAACTAATACTTTTTTAGAACTACTAATAATATAATAATATTAGATTAATAGTCCTAGTTAACTTACTAAGGTCGTTAATAATTAGTATAGTTAGTCGTATTTTTAGCCTTATACCTATTGTTATTAAGAGCTACTAGTTACTTAATTTCTAGTATTTATAGCTATATTAAGATGTATCTAAGTATTATTTTGGCTAGAAAGAAAGAATGTGTCTTAACTAGCCTAGTGTTAATTACTAGAGAGATTTCTCTTAAAGTAAACGGCTATATTAGTACTAACTAAGGCCCTCTCTTAATAACCTATTTTCTAAGCTATACTAAAACTAGCTAAACGTATTACTTAATTAAGCTAACTAACTATAGATAAGTAATAAGTACGTAGTCTATAAATAATCTATAAGATTTAAATAAAGTATAAGTCTTAACTATAGTAAAATAACTTTTATTATCTAGGTATACTCTTTCTAGCTACCTAAAAATTAGTACTAGATAGTTAACTTAGAAATTAATTACTATAGCTAAATCTACTATTATATACGCCTTAATAAATACTATTTTAGTAAAGTAATATATAACTAGTAGTATATACTTCTTACTATTCTCTCTTACTAGGTTAATAAGTCTAAGAAAATCTATATTTACTATTAACTAAGGCTTAAAATAGATAATTAGTTTAATGTTATAGCTCTTATAACGTAGTCTTATTCTCTAATATACCTTATAAGTAGCTAACTAGTTTTTAATATCCTAAGCGTAAGTTAGTTAAAAGAATTAGCCTTATAGATTATATAGAGTTAAAGTACTTATATAGTAACTATAAGTATTATATACTTATTTTATTACCTTACTTACTTTATTATCTAGAATATATTTTACTAGACAATAGGTTACCTACTCTTTATATATAAGATAAGATCCCTAGATATAGTAGCTAATCGCCCTTCTCTTTACTTACTTTCTTTATAACCTTAATATATATGTAATTCTTACGTCCTTTACTAGAAGATACTTTAATACAAGACTATACACTTTATAATCCCTTAGTAGCTTATACTAGTTATATTCTAACCTCTTAGACATTAGTATAGTTATTAGCGCTATAAATACTATACGTTCTATATTATACTAGACTAGTTTATCTTAAAGTACTTTAGGTAATCTAGATAGCCTATTTATAATTTGTACTAAATTTAATTTCTCTAGCCTATAGTAGACTTTAATGTTATATTTAGTTAGTTAATCTATCTATTAGGCTATTTTCTTATATAAGTCTAGGCTATTCTATAAGGTTAATATTAATACTATATAATCTATATAAACTTTAGTTAGATAAAGACTTCTTATAATAACCTATCTAACCTTTACTAAATTTCTTACGACTACTAAGGCTTTTTACTTAGTAGTTATGTACTTAGTCTTAACGTCTAATAATTTAAAGAATATAAATATAAAGATATATATCTAGTCTTTAATAGTTCTAGTTACTTTTATCTTAGCTAAGGTATCTACTAGCTAGAATAATATCCTTCTTAATCCTCTTTTACTTATATCTTTATATAGATAGTACTACTTTATAAGATTAGAGCCTACTATAGTATTATTAATAATATAATCTTTAATATACTAGAAAGATTAATCTTACGCTTTACTTTATTAAAAAGGTTTTTTTACTTACTTTTTTCTTAATAATTCTTTCTTAGTCTTTAAGGGTATAGTAACCTAATACTAGTATAATTCCTTAAGAATAAGAATATAGTCAGCTCTTTTAAGTATAAAAATATATAGAAATAGTATAATCTATATAAAATCGTCTACCTCTTATTAATAGGTTAGAGTAGGCTATAGTACTATACGGTTCTTATACCTTAATAATAGTCGTAATCCTGTTAAGCTAGCTAAGAATCTAATTATATTAATAGAACTAAAAAAGAAATACAACTTTAAAAGTAAGAAGAAAAGAAGACTAAATATAACTTATAAGAAATATCGTTTATATAAGAACTAGAACATTTCTTTAAAGCTAGTTATAGTACTAATATAATTATTTATAGAAAAAAAACATCTCTCTCTTAAGGAGCGGTATTTTTAGAAAATAATAGCTACTACACTTATTAAAAGAACCTTAAAACACTTCTTTAAGTACCTACTTTAACTTCTATTATTATATAATAGCGTACCTACTAGTACCTCTAGAGGAACCTACTAGAGATAGTTAAAATAGGCTAAAAGGACCTAGAATCTACTCTAGCTAATAATTACTTAGTATTACTATAGAAATTTATAAAGTAATATTATAGGCTAATAAGTAGGCCTCTAGCGCTAGACGCTCTCTAGTAATACTAAGTATTAAAAAGTTAGTTAATAAAATTAAACGTATTATAAAAACTCTATACGTAAGTAATAATAATACTAAGGCCTTAAAATAGGCCTAACAAATAGCCTTCTTAATTAAGAACATTAAAACTAAAGTTATAAACCTTAGTACGTAAGGCTAACTAACGTATATAGTAATAGCTAAAAGAAGAGCGCCTTAAGCCTACCTAGTAACTAGTAGCCTCTTAACCTAGACGTTTAAGTATAAGAACGTTATAAAGATTAAGAAGAAGATTAGGGTTAAACTCTTTATAAAAGATATAAAGAGGTTTAAAAACATCGATTATAAGACAATAAAGGATAAGATTAATATAGCCTTCTTAGGCGCCTTAGTATAAGCTGTTTATAAGTATAGAAATAAAGGCTATATACTTTATATAAAGGATTTAAAGAGTATAAGACAAATATAAAGAGATTAAGGCTAAGTAACGTTAACCTTTAGTAGAGTAAAGGTATTCTAGACTATACTACTAATAATTATATATAATATTAAGGTTAAGAGAGTAGGCCTTAAAAAGGATTCTTTAAAGAAAAAGGAATAGATCTAGGCTATTTAAGTATTAAACCTAAGGATCTAAATCGTTAAGTCGTTCTAGCTAGTTAAGATATACGCCTAAAAGAAGTAGTAGACGTCTCTTATCTTAAGTATCCTAGACTTTAAATACGTAAAAAAGGTAATTAAGAAAGGCTTAATAGTAGATAGTAAACTATACTACTACGCCCTCTACTCTCTAAGAGTGTCCCTAAACTAGTACTTTAAGTACTAAGAGATAAGACCTTACTAGTTAACTATATATTTAAAATAAGAAACTTATAGAATATACATAAGCTCTTACTAGATAAAGATATACTAAAACTTATAAAATAAAGAAAAATAAAGATATACTAACTATAAGAAGAGAAGACACTAGGCCTAAGACTAGGTAGCCTACTTACTACTATAGAAAAAATTAAAAAAAGTAAAGTAAGTAGCCTTTATAAGGCTTAGTAAGTATTGTTAAAGAGACTTAATTAATACTAGAGTAGCCTTAGGCCTAACCCTTACTCTTACTCTAAGTAACCTAAAACGCTTTATAAGAAGACTAAGAGTTAATACTCTAATAGGCTAAGAAAGAGCTATATACTAATATATATAAACCTTTAGCCCTTAAGTAAGAGATATAAGCCTTTTTACTAGTTCCTTAAATAAGAAGAGAAAGAATAAAGAAACTAATAACTCTAACTCTTACTCTCTCTCTCTTTTAATACTAAGCTTTAAAACCTTTATAGTACTTAGCTATATAACTCTAGTCGTTCTTATCTTAAGTTAGACAGAATCTTAAATAGATAAAATACTTATAAGCTAAGACTCCTTATAAAATTAGACTAAGACTTATTTAATATACTATAATATAACGTTAATAAACAAAAGGACGTTATAATTACGCTACTCTAAGACCCTTCTCTAGCCTAGTACAATATCCTAGCTATTTAAGAACTCTAGTATAATAGACACGACTTTATAACTACCTTACTAGGTCTTTAGTAAAGACTAATCTATAGACAAGTAGAGAGTACAAGAGTAGTAATATATATAAACAAAAAGATTAATTAGACTACTTAGACCTTTAATACTCTTACCTAGGTAGTAGAGACAGGCGTTGACTAGTGTTACGTTACTTTATAAAGTGTTACTGTCTAGTTAA